CGGCCTGAAGGGAGGGAGTGGCCTAGAATTGGCTGTGTGTGTGTGTGTGTGTGTGTGTGTGTGTGTGTGTGTGTGTGTGTGTGTGTGTGTGTCTGTGTGTCTGTGTGTGGTGCTGGTGTGGTACGGTGGACACCCAGCTCTGCCTGTACGGAGCCCCCACCACCCGATCGTATTAACGTTTGCTAAGTCAGCTGAGGATGCAGGAGGCATGTGCAGGAGAGGAGGAGAGGGAGAAAAGGAGAGGAGAGGAGAGGAGGATGACATATGAGAGGACAGTGCGAAGAACAAAGGAAAACAGGAAGACAGGAGGCAGAAAGAAGAGTAGAGCACAAAGGAAGGAAGAGCTCACAATGTGAGCGAGACAGGAAAATGCTGTTGGCACATGAGGAGGAATAGAACATGGGACCAAACACAAAGGGACATGTAAAACTGTGAATAAGAGCTAATAAGGGATTAGGCACAGGCACAAGGCTGGACTGGAGAGAAATTTCATGAATGGTGATCAAAGAGCCACATAAATATTGTAATACAATATAACAGAGGCTTTAATAGATCCTCTCAAAATCCCAAATACAGGAGAGACTAATGCCTAAATACACACACACACTTCTCTGATGAAAAAAAAGCTGTTTCTCCCTCTAAGAGAACACACACACACACACACACACACACACACAGGTAGGTAAATTGCCTCATTTAATATGGACATAATGGCAGAGAAGTATAAAAAAAAAAATTTAAAAAAGGGGAAAAATTCTCTCCAGTGTTTTCTTATCTTCCAAATCCTTACGAACAGCGGGAAGAATTGCTGCCAATAGCAGCCTTCAGGAGCACATTGCTTTCACAGCAATTAATCGCAACATCAATTAAACAAAAGCTAGCATCCAAATCCGGCTACCCAGCATTCCAGGGAACCAAATCAATCTGGCAATGAGTCCGCATGTGTTGCATTCAATGCTCCAGAGGGTGTGTGTGTGTGTGTGTGTGTATAAACGCAACAGAGAGTGCAAGTGTGTCTGCGTGTGCGTGCACAGAAGGGCCCCTATATCACACCACGAGTATGTCCGTCTATGTTTCATGAGAAAGACTGCATGCGAAGGCAACATGTACGTGTCAAGTGAGTGTGTGCATTTGACCCTGAGTCGTGTGTGTGTGTGTGTGTGTGTCTCAGGAGTGCATTAATGTATGGCTGTGATGTCTATATGTGTGTGTGCATCTGATGATGTGTGTGTTTGGGTGTACATGCGTGTGTGTGTGTGTATCCAAAAAGCACTCAGCTATGCCTGGATAATAAAGCCCCTCTTTAGAAAGCGCCTGTGGGTCTGAAGCCATTATGTTCTTTTCCACTTCACAGTCTCAGACCTGATTAGGATCACTTCCCTGCCTTCACCTGAGCCAACCGGTCACACACACACACATCCAATCAGCACTGTGTGTTAGTTTAAACTCATAAGTTTCACAGGTTTACAGTATCTCTGCTAACTTGTGAGTGCAAGCAAGTATTTATCTGTGGCAAACAGCCAGGTTGCTGGTAAACTGTTGGACCACAACAGCACGTTCCCCCGCTCCCTCACACACTTCAGTGCAGATGCACAGGGGCAATTAAACAAGCCAGCAATCCAAATCCCAATCCCACATCAGCATTAAATCTTGGTAAAACACTCTGTGAATCATACACTGTTCCCATGCATTCCAGTGTGGATTCTTGATTTAATGCTGATGGAATGACTAGGAGAGAAACCTGCACAATCCCTTCTCCACTGTTCAAAGGAAAAAAAAAACTTGTTACAGAGGAATGGAGGTGAAAAACGAGAGTTGCATTAAGTGGCAGAAGCACTAAAGCATCAGTCGCCCGTGCCACAGCATCAGTGGCTATTAAGAGTGTGAAAAGACAAAGAAACCAGTTGCACGGAGATGCCACGACAAAACCATCACCACCACCACCACCACCACCACCCCCCCTCCCCACCCCCCCCCACACACACACACAATTCAAATCACTGTGACAACAGAGCGGGGATTTCTGTCTTATTAGAACAGCTGTGAGACAAACTGAGTTTTCCTCTCTGAGTAAATCACAAACTGGGTACTCAAGCAGACCGGGGCTCTCTGTATGTGGCACCAGAGATGTTAGAAATGTGGCTCGGTTTTTGGTTACAATTTTTTCTTTTCATACAACTTGTTTACTTCAGCCTTTAAGTTCATAATGATGGAGGGGATGCTGTGAATAATAATCAACTGTACGGGGTTTTAATTTGTACTAAAGTGTCTTGTTTATATATTTTTGATTCAATAGCAACTGCGTGACTTTAATTCTGACAGTCTCAGTTGAAGACATTTGTTGTGATGATCTGGTTATTCGGGAATAGACGCTTGGAGTTCACGGAGCTCAAATGCGTAAAAATCTGCCAAAAAAAGAGCTTTTAGAAACGCGCCTCTACACCATCAGGCAAAAACATTTTCTGTTTTACGACATATAAAAAAAAAACAAACAAAAAAAAAACATTCTATCTAAAATGAATGTCCTCTCGTTACTGTTAACATGCACCTGCTTCCCATCACAGGACAAGCGCGAATGCCAAACTCTCTCCGCCGCGGACATCTGTCTGTCGATCAACGCTGCCTGCTGCGGCGACCAGTTTTTGGAACAACCGAGCCATACAACACATGTTTCCACATACCTTCTTCAGCGTGACAGTCTTCCACTTGGTTCAGCAATAATATCCAAAGCACCGATATCAGCGTTTTACGGAGATCCATGTTTGTCTGGCCAGTTCCGCGGGGCTCTTGTCATCTCTCTCCAGCCTGCGCGCAACGCACCGCAGCAGAGACGCACTCGGTGTTTGAATGGAGCTGATGCCGTCTGGGCAAGTAGTGCAAGAGCCACGGAGCCACGCGGCCTATTTGATATCTCGGGGGAGGGTTTTGTCGACGAGATTGACACCGGGCGAGCGCAATGAAGTTGGATGTGGAGACGAGGGTACGGGAGGGTCGACCTATCAAGGAGCTGCAACCTGAAATCTCCGCGCCAGGTGTTTCCACTATAGTTAACGGAGACAACCCTGCAGCAGTTTTTTTTTTTTTTTTTTTTTTTTTACATCCTGTCGTTTTATAGCGAGAGGTGGGTAGGTGGGTGGGGTGGCATTAAGTAGGACCTGGGTTTGTGGATGTGGTGTCATAGGCTGTTAAAGAGTTTGGTGAGGATTATATCCAAAGCCCTGTACTTGTTTCGGGTTGGTGTCACAGTATTTTGGTTCTGAGGTCGAGGATTCATTGGGGGTCCTAAAGAAGAGTGCAGAAGACCCTCATTTTAATATTATTATTTTAACTTTATGTTGGAACTTAACTGGAAACTAAATCAAAACTCTTTAAATACAGAAAAAAAATGCTAGAAAAGTCTAGCCACTAATTTCGATTCTCATTAGTAAACAAACACAGAAAATGCCTATTTGCTATTAAGTATATTCTCCAAATATGTTATATTATATTCAACCTATGTGGCGAAAATTTTTAAATTTTAGACTTTAAAGTCACTGTCCATGGAATTCAAACACTCTCTTTGACACCCCAGTGATATTATTTAAAGACAAAAGAGATAGTGACAGTGGTAGCCCTCTGATACATCTATGTCAGTGTTCCCAAATTCTTTAACATAAACAAATGGAGACACTGACAACGTTATTTAGGCAAACATTTTTACATAACATCTACAGTAACACAGCAGAATTAAATCAGCATAATTGATATATATGTACATATGTATAAATATATAGCTGAATTTTTTTTCTTTTCACACAAATTGTCCACAAATTGACTTGAGATCATTTCTGTAATGAAAATCACTTCCTTTCTCAGGGGACTATTGATTTGATGCTACTTAAAGTGAGGAGCCATGTTCACAGTGTTCTGCACCAAGCAAATATTATCGAGCTTTTCTCCTGGGTTTGTTTGTGCTTCTTCAGACGGCAGGAGAGCAAGATGAACTGAAACACAGAAAATGCTGTTTCAAGGGTTTGCATCATTGTAACACATAGACTCCACCTAAGAGTCCCTTGCTCTATATATCTCATTGTAACCGCATGCACACGGACATAGTGAACACACACACAGGCAAGTGTACACACACACTTTGCCCTGAATTGATCATTCTCACAGTTTAGCTTGGAAAGCAATACAGTTTATTGCTGATTGACAAGCGAGATACCGTTTTTTTAAAGAGAAAAAGAGAAAACTAGTGGTGTGAACACAGGTTGTATCTCCAATCAATACAGTCTTTTCTGAGTGCTGAAAGGAGAAGGCTGCAGGAGATCCAAAGCGCTCTCTCTATTACATATCCATTTAAAAAAAAGAAGAAATCATCATATGCTTCATTCAAAATTTCCAACAGATTGTGGATCTTGACGATGAATCTCAACAAGAACATAAAAATACTGTTTAGCATGCAACCAGTTCCTTGGAAATTCAGTTGTATTCAAAAATATGTTCCTATTCTTCTGTTTAAAGAGCATTTCAGGCTAAGTGGCTGTGAGGATTACAATGACCCAATAATGTGGAGTTCTGTCGCTCATCAGTCTATTAAGTATATGAAATGATCCCTCCAGTTTTCACTTGCAATACACTGAAATTTACAGCTCCCCAAGTGAAACCTGAATGCAGAGTTCAGAATCCATTTATTTTCAGCTTTTGATCAAAGTTGACTTCAAAGCCTAAAGCTGAAACTTCCTCCAAAAAAAAAACATAGACCGACCATAGAGTCGCCATGATGATACTGAGCCTCCACTTGGCAGCTCTTCAATATGTACCGCCAGCCTCGGCTATTTAGCTACTTTTCAAACTTTAATGTCGTGCAAATGAAAAGGCTAGTCAGCACACCTAGTTTTCCCCCGCAGCAAGCCCTGCAACTGCCGGACATAAAACAGCTCTGTAATAAATGTAATAAGCACTTTTAATACCACACACACACACACACACACACACACACACACACACACACACACACACACACACTGTAGACAGCCCCTCCTATATGCTCCATAATCATCGGTAAGACTCATTATCACAGTTATCACCCAGCCCCCTCTCCATCCCTGCTCTCTCTACTCAAGCACGGGCTCACACGTGCACATAAACACACACACTCACACACAGATTATGGGCCATCAGCCTGACTGATCCTCCCCAGCAGGGGGGCTGGTAGCCTCAGTTCTGGGAGCTGACGAACATGATCATCTGTCCTCCTCTGTGGTCATTACTCACCAAGGACAGAGGCCAGCAGCTCCGCTCGCTCACTCACTCGCTCACTCACTCACTCACTCACTCACTCACTCACTCACTCACTCACTCACTCAGCTGTCCATTACACACATGCACACAGCAGTCTCTTTCATACTCTCACTCTCACACCACATATCCCCCACTACCACGTCTGCCAAATTTCAAAATGTAATGTCACTTTTGGTTTATATTGTCATCTGCATTTTGCAATTGGAATTCTTACAGCATTTTGTTACTGTCAACAAATCCAACCCAACTCCTCAAAGACCAAAACCAACAATTTGTACATCTCTAAACATCTCTATCTTGTCTGTGGCACTCCTCTCACAGCCAACTGGTTCCTCCTGAAAATATCAATAATTAAAGATGCTTCAAAATGATATAGTTTTACTTAATAAGTTGTGTACGATATTATTTAAAACAGCTGGGCCCTGAAGTTTTTAACAAGCGATACTCCATCAGGTGCAGGTATAGAGCATTTTCCAGGGACTATTTTCAAATGTGGATTAATACACACTATAGTGAGTATTTCAGGCAGCAGGACAGTGTTTGTGGCCCCATGTTCATTGTAATGATGCAACACGTCATCCTGTGCAGCGGCGCTGGTTACTGATGTGTTTTTAATCAACCCAGGAGCCACACACATTTATTATCAGCAACGCAGTCGCCAGGAGGTGCTTTGGGTAGATGGTGGACGTACAAAGGACGCAACTGGCACAGCAGAGACTGAGGTCTGAGGTATAGTCACTACAAGTGGATACTGTACTAGAAGATTGTATATTTTGTCGGAAAACACAATTGTTGTCTTTGACAAATCAGTAAATGAACAACATGCTGCATCCTCAAAGTGTAATCAGATCGCAATTACATTTCCTGCAAAACATATTTGCTGTCGCAGTTTAGTTGTATATAAATGTAACTTATAGGAGGCATGGTTGTTTTAATAGGGAACAACGAGGGAGGTCTATGGCACAGAGGAATAAACTAAACCAGGCTTTGGCTACACACACAATACTTGTTTGTTGGATTAATTAATTGTTGCTTTTGGTATTTTGATGGGATTTGTTTGCAAATTAGAAAAAATATCAAATATTATCAGCCTGAAGTGTCTAAGAAAAGCTCCTGCTCCATTCCACATTCCACACATACAGAAGTTTTTTCCCTTTTGCCCTCTGTCAACACATGCCCACATATCATGTGCAACGAGCACCGCGCCTCCACCCCCCACGTCCCCAACCCCAGTGTGCCTGCATTACTGATCAGGAACACAGTAACCAAGAGAAATAAAAAAAATAAAAAAAATGAGATGGGAGATGTAAATCACAGTCTGATATTGTGCGGAGGGGGGCGGGGGTGTTGAAGCAGTAAATACATGTCAATTCCAGAAGGGACCTCACACACACATACATGTACATGCAGCTCTGTCCTGCTGCTTCATCATGCGACAGTTTCATGCTGATGCGCTTTACTGGCCCCTCCCTCTCCTGCTCCTTCTCACATACACACCAGAGAGAGAGAGAGGAGAGGAGGAGAGGAGGAGAGGAGGAGGAGAAGAGGAGGAGGGAGCGGAGTCACTTGACCTTTTCTGTTCCCTGGCTGTTTTCCCAGTCATCCAAGCAGAACGAGGAGGGGGAACAAAGAGATAATGGGAGAAGAGGTGAGTGTGTGTGCACATACTTGAATACAGGCATGTAAGTGTACACACACACACACAAACACACACACTCTCACTCTCACTCTGAAACCACTGTTCACAAACACTGAACATCTGATATCTCTATGGAAGATCTCCAACCACACTGAAACTAACGAAATCGAACGAAATGAACATAGATACATTTCTTCTTCCTCCTTCTCTGTCAGTATAAGAAAATAACAAAAGTGTGCACCACAGCCATCATCTGGTAAGGAGTGGGACAGACAACCCGACCACACAGTCCCAGATACCTCTGGCCTGAGTACCATGTAAACCATGTTCCCAGTTCAATCCCAGCTGTGTACCTTAAGTTGCATGTCACGCTCCTCCCTCTCCCCATTTCCTGTCTATCTCTCTCTACTATTCACAAATATGGCAAAAATGTAAAATAAATAAATAAATAAGCAAAATTACGCTCAAACTCTCCATAATTATCTATGTTGCTTTTCAAACACTTCATAAAAAAAGACATAAAGAACAGAGAAAAGGGTTGGGACTGGCAGCTGTGTAATCTGCAGATTTGGCTGCTCTTGCAGGCATTCAGACTGAAAACAATGCGGGGGGGGGGGCATGATGGTGGAGCTGTGTTGATTATGGTACAGGTGAGACAATGAAACACAGTCTGAGTTTAAGTAATAGATTAATGTGTTTGCCAAAACACTGCACCACCGTAATACTCACAAACAGAATTTTGTGGCGGCTATTTTACTTTTCCGTTGTGACAGTCTGTTCACGTTACAAAGGAATCCACCAGGAATACGCGCTCGTATGTATTTGATTGGCCGACGCAGCATCTCACTGGATGACACCACGGTGTGTTGAGGGAAAAGTTGAGCCAGGTTCAATATTTTTGCTG